AGTAGAAGAGATGAGAACCACATCACAAGAATGCCATATCTTTGAGGGCCCCTGGAAAAAAGACCACGGGAAGACCAAAGATGAGATGAATCATGATGGAGAGAATCAGAGCTGACCTGAAAGAGCTTAGGGTAGACGAACATCATGCCTCAAGTCGAGAATGAACAGTTGACTCGTACAACAGACCCTGCGTAAGCAAACATATGATGAGTGTGCCATCACTCAGCTACCTCGCGTCCGTCTTCCTGGACTTTGCTTCCTGCAAGGCGATTACGTGGTAGTCGATGCGCCCTGTAGCTTCGAGAAGGGCGTGAAGATCGGCATTGGTGGAGACTGTCCTAGCGTTGTAGGTGAGCTTGAGACAATCTCTATTGCGAGTCGTTGACGTGTCCTGGTCCAAAATCCATGGCATCCTATGTAACCTGACACTGGTCTTGATGACATCCGACACCGTAGATGTGATCCCGTGCGCAGGTCTTCTTTTTCTCTTACATGCTGTACGGGCAGTGAAGGACTTCTTCCCCAACTAAACAGAGCCTTGCCAGAGCCCGCCAAGCTTTTATCACAGGCAATCGCTGACATTATGTGAATGGATCAGGGAGCCACCTATCGACTGAATCAGCCAGATGGTGGGTTTCTGGCATGGCCTAATCTTAACTAGGCTTCCGGGGAACCGGAAACGTCGAACTCGTTCTCAGCTTGGAAAAACCCTTTTAGAGGAAAACCTTCGCTGAAACTTTGCAATTTGATGAGATTAAAGTGAACCACACGCCATGTAGAAATTCATTTTATGCTTTACCCCCGTGATGGTCTCCCGCCTCTCGCAGCGCGGGGGTGACTGTATCAAAGTGGTATAGCGGAGGTTTATCATCCAGCAAGGTCTACCAAGCTAAAAGGGCTTTTGACATTTCCGGCTTTTCATATGCGCAGCTAAGAGTAGGCTCTGCCAGAAGCTTGCTTGGCTAATTCAGTTGCTAGGTGGTTTCCTGATACACGTGAGTCAGCGATTGCCTGCAGCAAAAGCTTGCGACCACCCAGCAAGGCTGCTGAGCAGGCCTCGGCCTGAGGTCTCCGATTGGACCCTACGAGAACGAATCCCCGCTTGGAATTCCAGGAAATCACGAAGCCCTCTTTGTAACCTGTAAAGACACGTGCAATCAGGACACGTATTGCAGTGCGATATACTTGGAGCGCATTTTCTTCATTAAGGTAATACGATTTAGGGCCCTAGCAAGGAAGGGAGGAAATGCTTTGATCTGGTTATTGTGCTGTAAGTTGGGTCAAGAGATGCACTAAAAGTGTTTGCTATAAGCAACGCAAAATTATGAGAAACAAAAAAGTGTTTGCTAATCGGAGACCTGAGG